AGTGAGTACTGCTCAACCAGACATACATTTCTTTGCTCCTTCTCCCTTATTTTGTCCCTTTATTTAATTCTTTTAAACTTAAAGGAAAAAAATAAATTTATTGTAAAAAATAGAAATCGTCAAAAGCGTTAATTTTTAAAATAAGCCCCTTCTTACAAGTATAACCAACTACTTCAGATTTTCTTGTGTGGAGATATGGATAGATGTACATAGTTACAGAAGTAGCGATTTTTAAATTATATTTTGTCAACAGTGTTTATAAACATCTTCTATATCCAGTACACATTTATTGCATCATTTTTAATGTTTCCATTTATTCCATCGTATGGATATACCCTGAATTGTTATTTAGCTTTTTTATGTTTTGCTCTTATAAATAGTTATACAGTGGAGATCCATGTGCCTACATTTTTGCACACTTACCTACTTATTTCATTTAGACAAACTCTTAGAAATGAAATTACTGTGTCAAGCAGTATGCAGCTACTAGAGCTTTTGATACATTTCTGCATCTTAGCACTTGGAAAACATTAAGCAGTTGTTCTGCTGGTACTGACTGCTGAGGTGGTGTTAGACTGCCAGGTATCCTTTGCCAGCCTCACCCTCTGGGATGGTTCTCAGATCACGCTGGATAACCTCAGCTGAGGGAACCTCTGAGAGGTTGTGGGGTTCTAGTTGCCTGGAGGTTCCTCTGTTCTCAGGGAATGTTAAATCAGAGCCCCCAGTACTCTAGCCAAGAAAGCTCTGATTTCTCCTCTTAAGAAAATTCCAGATTTATCAGAGGCAAAGTCAGCCTTGGATTAACCCGAGACCCTGTTTGTATAATTCTTATATAGGTTGAAAGCTTTAGAAGTAACTCAAAACCAACTCCAAAGTATGTCCAGAGAAGAAACCAGAATAATAGACTTAAAATTCTATAAATGTTTTAATTTTTGATTGCCTAGAATGAAGGAAGTAGTGATGATTAGGTTGGAGGATGGGGAGATCCACAGGGGGAAACAGTTGTTTTTATCAGATATTTGAAGGAGTAGTGTATGAAAGAATAACTATATTTGAATTTTGTTAACCCTAGGGAAAAACTAGAACCATAGAGCAGAAATGAGAGGGGTGTCATTGTTAGATTTACGGGGGCTATTATTTAGTAGTGGAGAGGGCTGCCTTTTAAAGATAGTAAGTTTCTTACTATGGCAGATATCAAGCAAAGGCTAAAATGGCCAGCTAGCAAGGATACTAGTAAGACTTGTTAGCCCATGAAGGTCAAAGTAAAAGTAACTCAGAAAATGTCTCCCTTACAGCCTTTGCAGAATGAGGTTGCAATTTTTGACAAGGAAATGTGGCAACATTATAGTAACGTGTACATTCAACTGCATAGAATTCTTCTGAATAATTTTATAGCTTTGGTTATTCAGTATATATACAATTGTTTTCAGGTATTATTTTCCAACCTATGAAAATGACACTCTGCTATGCACGCTGTCTGACAGTGAAAGTGACCTGACAGCTCAGGAACAAAATGGAAATATTGCCATCATTAGTGAAGACACATCTAAACTGCATGCTTTGAAACAAAACAGTATTTTGAATCAGTTGCTACCACACGAGTGCTTGAAGAACTAGAAGAAACTGCCACAGAAGCAATGTTTCATGTTTTCCCCTGTGAGACAGACACGAAAGGATAAATGTGAACATCAGCAAAGGATTAGTCCTTGGTGAAGTAAACTTTAAAGAATGAATGTTCTTTTCAAAAAGTGGAGTAGAAACTAAATAAAATGAAGAGTTTTTCTATTTGGGCTCTGACATTTTTTATTATGTAATCATTGCAAATGATCTCATTTCTTTAGACTGTTATTTATCTATAATGAGGAGGATGTGCAAATCACAAAGAAATGAAATGTTCAAATTATTTATAAACCTAATTTCAACCAGTAGTTCAGTCTTTTCCCCACAGGTTCTCTTCATCCAGCAAGTCACAAAATTTGACAGATGTGTACTTTCCATACTTCACTGGGTAAGCTGTATATATAGGGACCAAAAGAGGAGCCAGAGAAGAGAGGGAAAATGGTCAAAGTCCTGGATAATGCACCAGTTGGACACTATTTCAGAGTAATCAAGATCTGACTATATTATCATTGCTGTTTCCTGCCTAAAATTACTAAACGTCATAGGAATGAACATCAAGTCAAGTAACTTCACTTTCCCCTACAACGTATACATTGCTAACAGATGATAACTATTTTTTAAAAGCATAACCACAGTACCATTATGACATCTAACAACATTAACAATAACTTCTTAATATTATATGTTTTCAGTTTTCCCTAGTTGTCTCAAAAATGTCTTTTTACAGCATTGCCTCCTGAGAAGTGCAGTGAGGAGGACAAAACATGACTTTTGAAGATTCCTTCTCAAAATGTGTAATGTAAATTTACTGAAGAAACATCAATTAAAACCAAGTAAGGGACACTCTACAAGTAATTGGCCTTTACTCTTCAAAAATCAAAGTCATGAAAAACAAAGACTAAAGTAACTGTTCCAGATTAAAGGAGACTAAAGAGACATTCACAGTGTATAATCCTAGATTGGATCCTGAACCATGAAAAAATGTTTTTCAATTGCTGTAAAAGATACTAGTGGGACAGTTGGCAAAGTTTGATTAAGGTAATAAATATTATGGTTTTATATTAATTTCTAGATTTTCGTAATTGTACTATGATTATTTATGAGAATATTCTTGTCTTTAAAAAATACACATGAAGTATTTAGGGATAAAGGAGCATTTTGTTGGCAACTGACTTTCAAAAAACTAATATTGGTATGTATAGAGAGAATGTTAAATACAGTAAGATGTTAACATTTGGAGAATCTAAAGGGTATGTGGGAATTCTCTGTACTGTGGCAACTTTTCTATAAGTCTAAAAATATATCAAAATAACTTTTTAAGATGTCTCTTTATGGTTGATTTGTTTAAATCAGATTCCTAGTGAGATACATACTTTGCATTCAGTTGGTGTGGTCCGTAAGTGTCTTATGATCTATAACAGCTCCTGTTCCTTTTTGTTTTTTTTAACTGCCACTTACCTGTTAAAGAAACTGGGGTCATTTGTCTCAGTTTCTGAATGTGGATATTGTATCCTCTTTTTGTCCTTTAACATGTTCCTCTATCACCCATTTTTCCTCCAAACTGGTAGATCAAGAAACTCCATTAAATCTGTGTTCAAAAGAATTTTTTACAAGCATAGTTCATAAAACATAGTGTGTGGTTTCTCTCGCATCACATCAGGCACATGGTACCTGATGTGCCACTTTTAGAGATGTCAGAATTGATCAGTGCATTCAGGTACTGGCAGTCTGATGCATCCTCATAAAGTTCCCCGATAAACCATTTTAGTATCCATGAGTATTTGTTCCCTAGATTTATTTTTATTTCTTTATGGGTTGCAAAATGGTGATTTTCTAATTCTGTCATTTCTTTACAAGTGGATTTTTCAACAGCATGGGTGCTATAGAACACTGGAGTCTAAAGTTCTAGTTTTCAACTGTTAATGCCACCCTATATAGGTAGTGCCCCAAGACGAATCTTGAAGTCGAATGGCCTGTCCTGAATCCCAAGGGTAATCTCCCACCATGTAATCTGAAATTGACTGAATTTGTAAATTATATGAGCTGTGGCCAAGGCTTTAGATTTCTAAGCCTCTAGCAGTACAGACACCCGTACAGGGTTTTAATTGAAAACCAGCAAACAATGGAGCCCTTATTATAATGAAAACTACCTAAGTTAAAAACACAATTAAATTGTTTTAAGACCAAAGATCAAGAAGGCAATTAGTCCTGTGCTTAGAACCTTGTGTCTCTAGGAATCAGGTTTGTTTAGAAAATCAAGGAATGTCTGGAGTGTTTCTAGAATGTGCTTCAGTCTTAGAACAGGAGCAATGGGAGAATGAGAACAAAATAGGCAGAGAACAGTTAAGCTTGAGAAGGAGAAAGCATTTTTGGAGATGACAAAGTTGAGATTTTAGAGAAGAGATCCAGTAGACATAAAAGGAAGAATGAAATTAAAGGACAGACCAGCAGATGAAAGGGAAAAGATGATGGACTGGGTGTTTCAGAAATAACCATTTAAAAGGTTATTTCCTAAACGGGTAAATATTTGGGGGTAGGGGAAGGATCATCTGGAACATAAGGACAGAACTAATAACTTAGTTCCAGAGAAACTGAACAAGAAGAGACGCATAGCCTCAGTGAACTGTGCTGACTGTCCCAGAGGGAGCACGGATACAGGCCACTGCAGGCCAAGTGCTCGCTCAGGGCCACGCAGAGAGTCCTTGGAAAGAACCGCTGGGGAACTGTGCCTGGACGACTTGGGCAGTGGTGCCAAGTGTGCCCGACAGCCTGGACCGGCTGAGAGGAGAAGAGCGGTCAGATGCAAGTCAACTTTCAGGGGATTGTTGGATGAGTTCCAGATATCACTGTAATTGTAGATAAGGACACAAGTACTGCCTGTGCCCAGAGGGAACACACCTGAGAAATGCTGAGAATTAAGACTAAATGAAGGCAACAAGAAAGATGAAGCATAATAGAAGAGAGCAAGTCAGGACAGTGATGAGTGGACTCCAACCCTGGACTGGCTGTTAGCCCAGTCATAAAATATAAGCCGAGTATCTAACTAGGAAGAGTGAGAGTGACCGCGGGTTTGTGAACAGTAGTTGCCTGTGGCAGACTAGAAATTAGTGTCTTATCTCTCAGAACAAAAGACCCCGTTAGACAAAATCTGCACAAGAAAGGGCCATCTCTTCTATATCACTGAGGTGGTTATTCCCTTCCTGGTGTAGACGGTGGTAGGCAATGGCGGGGAGACACCTGCATAAGGGGAGTTTATGATCTTGTTTTCAGGTAGGCAGGGTGGACAGCAGAGAGCTCACCCTGCACCTACTTTTTCTCAGTTGCCTTCAGCTCAAAATAATCCTCATGCCAGAGTGGCATATATTGGGACGGTGTATTCTGACCTCCTGCAGTCTCATATGTCACTCTGAGAAGAATATCTGTTGCTTCTTCCCACAGGGATGGTGAAACATGTTGCCAGCATTAACTTCCTGAAGGAGAGTCCTCAAAGTTGAGTTTATTTACAGACAAAGGACTTCAGATAACTTAGGCAGATGGACTAGCATCCTGGAGAAGCTGAAATCAAGATGTCACTGAGTCTCTTATGGAAAGTGCAAGGTTCTGGGAGTATCATTTTTTGATAGTTACTTGAAGGTCTTGGCATTGATTTGTTTTTTACTGTTCAATTTTGTTGGTGTTGGGTGCTTTGACGATACTCTTTAAAAAGTGAGATACAACAGAAGCGTGGTATTTAATTTATCTTCTGAGACACTGAAAAAAAAGCTACACTAGTGGTGCTAGTGGTCAGACTCTTGTCCAGCCTGCTGGAAGAACCACAGTGCTTTCCAGGCGCAAAGAACCCCTCTGGTTCAGAACGAGCAGAATCAGAAACAGGGTGAGTATTACACTTTAATGTCTTTTAGCTTTAACTCAAGCGGGCAAAAGAATCTGATCTTAGAACTTTTAATTTCTCACTGGGAAATTCACAATGGTAGAGGGGTTATATTTAAATTGGGGTCATCAATATTTTACTGGAGTTTTTTTTTTTTTATTGAAGCATCTTTACATTGTCATGTAAGCTCTTTGCAGAACCTCTGATAGACTGTTCTAACCAACATGGATAGGTATAATTTAGAATGAAAAAGGAAATGGGAAACTTTCAGCTGGGCTTCAGCGTGGCCTGGAATTACTTCAGTCAGTTAATTACCTTCCGAAGGCAAAAGCTACACTCTTCATCACCAGGCTCAGGAGAATTCACAAAGAAAGAGTAGTTGCCAAAGAAAGAGTTGGTTGAGGGGGCTTGGGGAATGAGCTCATGATGGGAGCAGCACTGTCATCATAGGATGTTGATCAATGCCTACAGGGGAGATTCTCACACTCTTGGTTGGCCTTGAGTTTTAATGGTTAAGCCCAAGGAGTTAAGAGAACAAAAACCTGGAGAATGTTGGAAAGGGGGAGCTCCATTCCCCTAGCATCTTGTTTCTATGAGAAAAGGAATCCATTACAATAACATTCTGGGTTTCTTTCTGCCCGCCTCTCATTCCTGCAAAGGAGGGATGAATTTTCTAACTGGAAATTTGGAGAACAGGAGCTCCGCGTGTGTGACTCAGCCCCTTCCTCCTCTTTTTTCTCTTTGGGATCTGTCTCTGTTGCAGAGAGAATACATCCTGTTCTGCTTCTCCTTTCTGCAAACTTTTTTGAGTAGCAGGCTCTGCCAGAGCACTTGGAGGCCTTCAGTTGTCCAATACTGCCTACAACTGTGCAGGTAAGTCTGCCTGACTTTGGGGCTCAGTGTTAGGAAACTCACTTGCCCACAACTGTAAGCCATGTCCTCCACTATCATCTTTATTAGCAATAGTGGTGATATTTAGTTTCCATCTGCTTGACTCGTATCAACTGGCCTTTCTATAAGGTGAAGAATCTCTCAGGGAATGGTAGATATGGCCAGGATTACTAAGAAACCACTTCTCAGAGAGCTACCACTAAATACACTAAGTCCCAGCAGTCAGGAAATAGACTCAGTGCCATCCAAGACTAAGGCTGGGCAATAAAGCCAGAGAATTCTTGGATGTCATTAGTAAACCAGCTGTACTTATACTTTTTTTTAACAGAGGTATTGGGAATTGAGCTAAGCACACACTCTACACTGAATTCCTCCCACCCCCCACCCCCACTGCACATAAACTTTCTGAAAAACCATTGGAAATAGGGTTATAGGTTGCAGTCCTCCAGAAACAGGCCTTAAGAATTTGAGGGCAGGGCATTAATTTCAGGTAAACCCAGAAAATACCAGTACAGGAAGTGAGGAAGTGAAAAATGAAACAGAAAGAACACAGAAACAGTGTGCATTAATGAGGAAGTTAATGCTGTAGGAATGGGGCTCCTCTGGGAGATTGCATGTAACACTTCTTAGAGTTGCACCCCACCTGCCATCACCACCAGGGGGCAAAAAGCTGGGATATTTACCCACCACCTCCACCGGTCGTGGGTTGAGGACTGCTCCTAGGAACATAAATTCCCTGGTACATCCAGCCTGCCTTGCATATCGGTCTGGTGCCCTCAGGAGGCTGGAGAAGGCTGTCACACAAAGACTGAGGAAGCTGTAATGCAAAAGGGCCCCAACAGTAACTGTTACAACTAAAGATGCTGCATTATCACAAAAGAAAACGTTGTATGGAGACCTTAGCAAATCCTCACAACTTTTCCATGTATCATCTCACTTGACCTTCAGAACAATGTTGTGAGGTGTCTAGTCAAGAATTTGTATCCTCATCAAGAGTAAAGAGAGGATTAGAAAACTGAAGATCAGAGAGATGGGGACTTGCCCAAAAGGAAAAAGCATGACTAAGTAATATATAACAAAATAATACATGGGAATTTAAAATGAGACAAAGCCAAGTCCTGCGCTTCTTTAATGTATGGAGGAATAGCAATTCTTTTTGAGAGGATGGAGCCAAACTTGAATGAGAACAAGAATAAATTCTTTAATGTAAGTGCTTTGCCGAATTTATTTGCAGAATTAACATACCAGTCCACTTCCATCAAGGGCATCCAATTGCAGCTATTGTTTGCATAGTCTGCAGAAATAGCCATCTGACATCCTTGAAGATTAATTCCACTGTTACTGTAAGCTTTACGTGATGGATAGCTGAAAGATTGAACCAGGAGCTGCAATTGAACTCTTACGCCTTATAATTGATATGAAAAGCTAAAGCATGTTCAGTTCCTGATGATAGCAATTTGCAAGACTGAATGGCATTGCAAGCATGTTAATTCAAACTGAAAACATTCAGCTAAGTTAATACTAATTTCACAATGTTCTAAGATTCAAGTGAAGCTGTGTTTTTCTGAGTTTATAAAATTAGACTACAAAAACAGATTTTTGAGGATGTTCTCAGTCACTTGACTTAGATACACAGTGAGCAGAGCAGTAAATATAACTAATAAAACCATATATTGTGATTTTGGTGTTTCATTATCTGGAAAACATTACAAGAACGAAAGAAGATGCTGTGATAAATTGTAAAAACTAAAAAACTAAAAAAAAAGAAGAAAGTAAAAGACCAACCAAAGAATAAAATTTATTAATCTCTGATTCTCACAAAAGGCAACTCCCTTCTACACCTCCATCGTTGACTACCAAGATGGAAGTCCAAAGCTTGGCGTTTGAGACCCTGAGAATCTGGCCAAAACTACCTCCTCCAACACCTAATCCATCACTAAGTGCAGCCAATTCTGTCTCAGAAATACATCCCAGTCTCTACCACCAGCGTCTCTGGTCTGAACTACTGCAATCAGTAGTCTCCTAGTTGGCCTCCGTCCTTCCTTGCTGGTTCATTCCTCCAACCTGTCCTCAAGCGGCTAGAAGGATCTTTAAAAATTCTATGCTCTAGTGAACTTTCTTGATTGCTTACCCAGCATCCTCTTCCTCTTTCTTCCTTTCCTAAGAGTTTCCAAATTACTTGAGGGGAACTATTACCATTCCACCCTTATAAGTAGCAGCCATGCTATTGGGATGGACCTTCAGGGGGTCCTTATTGGAGTAAGAATCTCACTGCAGAGACTTGGTTATGCAGAGAGGTGCACAGCCAGGGCCTGCCCCCTGTCACTGCTCCAGGCTAATCCAGTTCGAGTGAAGGAATCCCGTTAAATGCGTAGAGAAGCTAGACTCTCCTTTCCCTTTTGATAAAAAGACACCTGTACCCTGGTTGCTGCCAAAAACCAACTCACAACCTTGAGGGAAGCTAGCCCAGGGACTCTCAAAGAAGAACAAAGAAGAGAATTTCTGAGAAATGGAACCAGAGCTCTCACCTCACTGTCCTCTGAATTTCTCAGTTACTCAAGTCAATAAATCCCCTTTATTGTTTAGTAAACTTTGAAGAGGGGTTTTGTATTTTATACAGTGAGAGCATCCCCTGGAACATGGAAGCCAGTCCGCAAGGCCCTCAAGAGTCTGGCCCAGCAACATCTCCAGGCAAACAGGCCTCCTTCTGTTCCTTGAACCGACTGTGTTTTTTCCCACCTCGGTGTTTTAGACACGTTCTGTTCTCTGTCTGTGTACTCCTGTCCCAGCTCTTCAGCACTAACATCTCCTTATCATCCAGGCCTCAGTATAACCATCTCCACATGCTGGCCCCGTCCGCTTTATATCCTACACTAACTCATTTGCTGCCAGTGCAGTTTCAAATTCGGCATCCCATTAAGAAAAGGAGAGGGGGAAGGTCAGGCTGTGAGTTGAAAATAGTCTCAAGGGCCACAAGCAAATATTGCATTTGGTCTCCTCCCACTGTCACCTCTGGGAGAAAATTAGGCAGTAGATTTGTGGGATCATCAAATTTTTCTGGGGTTAAGATGGAGAATTATATTGCCAAGAATCCCAAGAGGCTGCTTCCCCTGAGCCAAAAGCCAGACTGCACTTTGCCACCAGCTGTGTGGGTCTAAAAGGTCGTGTGCTGGAAGCTGGCAGGGATGGGGTGAGGAGGAGGTGGAGGGAGAGACAGCAGCAAGGCAGGAAAAGATGAGGGAGACTGCAGGGCTCAGAGAGGGCAGACGGTTCAGCACCAGAGAGAGGTAAAGAGGACTTGGAGGATATTTTGAGGATCAATGCATGATGCCCAGTCGTATTCCTTAAAAACATACCTTGGGAAACAGAAAATAGGCTAAAGGTTACTAGGGGTGGGGGAGGGAAATGGGGAGTTACTGTTTGATGGTTACAGTTTCTGTTTGGTGTAATGAAAAAGTTCTAGAAAGAGTGGTGATGGTTGCACGAGATGTGAATTTAATCCACTTAAAATGTCAAAATAGTCAATTTATGTTATGTACATTTTACCACAGTTTTTTAAGATACCCCAAAAAAAGAAAGATAAAAAAACCACCTAACTCTGTAAATGATAAACTGGAATGTGCCAGAGTTACCAAGGAGGCTGGCACATTAATCTGGTCAGGAGGTGGTAAGAACTTCAACCCAGGCAGAGAAAGCCAGGGAAAAATTTGGAAGGAGATTATTGGTCAGGACCAAATGCATCCGGTTTTGGATCTGCTGGATTTGAGAAGTGCTGGTTACTGCCTGGCTCCTCCTTGGACTGAAGCCCTCATTCCCCCTGGCCTGAATGTAGGTGTATAATAGCCCATGGTTGCAGCTCTCTCTGGGAATGCAGTTGGCCAAATGGAGCTACATTGTCCAGGGGGCGTGGAAATTTGGGAAGAAATGGTTCCCGGAAGGAGGCAATGATGGGCAGAGAAGGCAGTCTGAGAGTCTCCGTTGCATTTGGCAACATGGAGGTCGTTGGTGACTTTGGCAGGAGGTGGGCATGCAGAGGGGCAAGGTCCAGATTGCAGCAGAATGGAGGCCACAAGGGAGGCAGCGAGGAAAAGCTGGACCTGCATCTGGAAGCAAGGGTAGGATGGAGGGCAAGGAAAGACTTGCCAGGCAGGGAAAACGCTGTGAGCCAGGGAACCCAGGCTGGGAAATCACCTGGTTTAAATGGGGAAGGACAGGAAGAAGGCAGGAGGGATGTCTGGAGCAGCACTGCTGGCTGTCTTAAATGGTAGGCTGTGGGCTTTGAGCAGAATTAACCAGGCTGTCTCCACAAATGTGTCTGAGTTCCACTGGGTTCAGGATTCTGCCCTCTAGTGGGAACTGGGCTTTTGCACCAGGTGAATGTTTTGACCACAGTCCCTTGGGCTCCACATGTGTGAATGCAGACATCATACATTTTCTGAAGTGAATTCCATTAAGCCAGTTGAATTCCTGAATCAGTCAGTCCTCATGTGTCTTGTAAACTTGTATCTAATACTTTTAACTTTTATTTTACTAAAATTATTTTCAAACAATTTAATTCTGTTTTGTGAAAGTTGTACAGGAAGTATTGAATAAATCTATCAAATTCCATCCACTATAGCTTCTGCCATTGTAAATTTTCTTTTGGGACCACTGTTTTTTTATCAAATCCAATTCCCCTTGCTTGCAAATATAAATTTTATCAAGATAATTTGACCTTTTAAAAATCTAAAAAAAATTGTACGTTGTTATGTTTTAACCATTATCAGCCCTTATTTTTGAGATTATTCCTTCTAATAAAATTCATTATGACTAGGAAAAGAAAATTCCTTGATAAAAATCTGTTGTCAAGGCTTCTGGAGTTGGTCTGTGTTCCTTTTGGGTATACTAAGCAGAAGCTGGACCCAAGATAGCCTTGTGGTAGTCCAGTTACAAAGGGATAAACACAAACTTCAGGGTAAAACTTAATGTATCCTTTTATCAAGGAAATTTCAAGGCACTAATGAAAGAGTTCTTTTGACTCTGCACCTATGACTTAACGATCAATGAAGGATTTAAGCTCCGGAGAGAATCTGGCTTATTAATTTATAAGAGAGCTTTCATCTTTGCACATTCTTCTTTTCCTCAGAAAGTGACAAACATAGTTATTTTAAATCTCCCTTGAAACCAATGACAATATTAATCATGTTTTTTAAATGCCTTGGTTAGTGAAATTCTTTCTTTCTGTAGCATGTTATTACTCTAGCCACTGAAATAACTTCGGTTAAATTATTAAAGCAAGCTCTCACCACGGTGCACATAATAAGCAGACTTATGAGTAGGTGGACCCTCGCAAAATCCCTTTCTTCTTAGCATTTGGAACCTAGAAAAATGACAAATTCATATGAGTCAAGCTAAGAGGATTGATTTTAAAAGTTAAGGAGGGGGGCAAAAATTATCTGGCAGCACACAATGTGCCAAGTTGAGATTATCTTCCTGTTAGAGTGGAATCAGAAATCCTCACGTCCAGGCGGTAGATCTCATGTAATAGCCTCAGTCCCCACAGCTCTGTCCCTAATCAGAGTGAGTGAGGTGGGCCACGCAGGCTGTAGGGACGCCTGTGCACCCTCCCCGTCAGTGCTTAGCACATAGGAAAGGTTTAATAAATATTAACTATTTTGTTATGATGGATTTATTCCTGAATCCTGTAGTGGGCATCAGAAATGTTCCCAGGGCAAGGAGAGCCCTCACCCTTGTGGCCTTTGTCATCCATCCTATAAAGAACGCTTGTCTGAGTTCAACCCCTCCCTTTTATCACACCCGCCTTTGTCTCAGATTCTTCTCTTCAAAGCTGCCCTTGATGGTCTTAACTTGATTTCATCTATATGAAAATATTCACAGACATGGGTGCTTATCGTACTAATCTTTCTACTTAAGAATATGTTAGAAATTTTCCTTAATAAAAAGTTTTTAAAAGTCATTATTCACTGGAATTGCTCCAAACACACCCTCCCTAAGGATGGCTCTGACTAATACCCCATGAAACTGACACCTGGGCAACGACTTGCAGGCACCAACTCTGGAACTCCGGCCACATGTGAATCACTGCAGAGCAGCTGTGACAACAGCACGTATAAGGTGTGAGCCTTACTCCCCGCCCTAGCACAGCCCTCTGAAGAACGTCAGCCATCCAGCACATAAAATGCTGATTTATCAGAGCTGTTGGGGTCAAAGTTTCCAGGCTGACTGTGATCTCACGGCTGGGATAATCCAGTTGGCCAGACCCTGTCCAGGGCCCTGGGGTCAAATCTCCAGTCAACTCCAGTCAAGATACCTCACAGACAAAAAGCAGGTGATTATTGGAAGAAGGTAAAAAGAATGTAGATAGATGAATGTTCATTATTACTATTGGGAAAGAAATTCAAAGCACTTGACTGAATTTCTGTAGCTCAATGCCAACATCTTTGTAAAATGTGCTGCTGGATCGGTGCCTCTGCTTTCTTGTGTGGATTTTGGAAATAATAATTGTACCTATCTCATAGTACCTATGTCATAAGAAATAAATGAGGTTGTATTTTTTCATGTTTTTATTGAAGTGTAGTTGATTTACACTGTTGTGTTAGTTTCACGTGTACAGCAAAGTGATTCAGTTATATATACATATATATAAATATACATAGTTTTTCAGATTCTTTTCTATTATAGGTTATTAAAAATGAGGTTGTAATTTTTAAATGCCTCCCATAGTTCCTATAGCACAACCATATCAAAATATCAATAGCATTTTTTGCACAAATGGAAAAA